TTATAAGGTAGCAGCACATCCAGAAAATTTGTTTGAATATTTTTGCATATGGGCCATTAAATTTTTAGTTTTTTCTTTGTTTTCTATATAATTAAAAGTGCACACTTGGGGATACCTTCCTGCTCTTTAACAATTACACGAAATATTAGTTATTTTTTTTTAACGTTTAAAAAAATCATCAGTACAAAGCTCTTTTTGGGCGTAGTTGTATGTGAAGTTGAATTTTTATCATAGAACTCGAGCTGCAACTGCTGCAACTCCCATCATCCATATTAAAGTAGATAATAAATAAAATATCAGTTGAAACTCGCATCTACTATATGCCCCGAAATGCATTATATACTAGCCATATGTAGATGTCACCATCTCCGCAGGCTTGATCCTTTGCTTTTTTAAAGTACTTTTCAACCAAATCCCTTTCATAATTATTATACTACATTAACAAGCATTAATATAGACATTCGCTTCAGAAATTTCTGTAAGTGTTTATTGTGTAATTGGGGGAAAAAAGTTCTATAGAGCAAAAGTTTCTGAAACACATAATACTCGCACATTCTTTGTCGAATGTGTAAGAACTTGACAGGCAGTGGCAGCAGTGATGAAAATACAGATAAAAGATCTTAGTGGCTATTTTATGGTTTAAATACTTTGTGGCTTGAAACTTGAAATAATGCAACGAACGAAATAAAACAAGAAAATACGTCCAAAATCTGCAGCCGACTCAAGGGGATTTTATGCTGCCATCAAAGCCTCAGTAAACCTTTTATCAGCAGGCAGTAGGGAAACTTTTTGTGTTATTTTCGTGTTTTTCTCCCGTTGGAAAATCCTTCATAGATAAAGCGGCATTTTGCACTTGGTGAGCAAGACACTGTGGAGAGGGAGAGGTAGAGGTAGAGCTGCGAAAGCACGCAGAAAAGTTTATACAATTTTTATTACATTGCTTTTTATTTTGTCGAAATCTGGGAAATCAAGAAAGTCAAGCCCATATGCAAAGCTCTCGCTGACAAGTTAAGTGGTCTCTGAGCAAAGATGGCTTCGGGAACAGGCCCCAAGACACAACCGCATATGGTAGGTAGTACTTGGAAGCCCCCGCCCGCTTTCTGGCTTGGCATTATTTTTATTGTCAATAAATTTGATTCAGATTTACCCTGTCTGCGGTTGAGCTCTCTTAGTTGGCATCCCTTTTTAATATTTCAACCTTTGGAAAACAATGAACTTTCCTCACTACCATTGTAGTATTTCTATTTAATGTCAAAGTGCATCTTTGACTTTTATGAATAATTCAATTGGCATATTGTGGGCCGTACCTATAATTTATTTACTGGGGATGCTATGCGTGACATGAAGGAAACGAAGGACGTGAATATACCCTAGATCTCAAACAATTAATCAATTATGCAGCGTCGTCCAGGCCACGAAAACAAATCAAGGCTAACGAAATACAATGTTTTGGGAGGACTTTTCCTTTTCCCCATTTGACAGCTGACAAGATGACAAATTTCGGACCGTGAAAGTTGTGCCTGATTGGCACCACCAACCAACAAACGTTTTTCTCTATTCTCTGGCATATACGAATCGTTTTTCCCTTTCCTCTGGCATGTAAATTATGTCCAAGATATTTGGTTCTTTTGATTGCCAACAAAAAACCTAATTGACTGGCTTTAAAATTAATTTTTTGCTGTGTGATCCTTGAACTGAACATTCAAAATGGCAACTTATAGCCATGCTGTGGCCTTTTGGCCTGGCCTGTTCTTTTTGTTTTGGGGCTTGGGGTGGAATGTTTGTACGTGATTGGAATGGCAAATGTTATGAAGAATAAGGGAAAATTGCTTACGAATGCCGCTGACAGCTTGTATAATGTAAGTGAAAAGCCTGAAATGAATCGGAAAAGTAATATTGCTCAAGTGTAAAGATATTGCTGCGGTTACCGAATAAACGTTTGAAATTGGGAGAGTAAGAGGTCTTTCAACATGGGAAGATTATTTTATGTTTTTTGGAAACTTTTATCAATCGGTTACTCTATTTAACTCTGTATTTTTTTTTTCGATTTTAGCCCTTCAGATACTGGTTCAAGGCAATGAATATCTGTGAATGATAATGCTAATTGGCGCACTGTCAAATCGGGTAAAATATTGTCTCTTCTCTGGTTTCAGAAAACAACAACAACATAACTAACATTCTTGCTTTTTTAATTAACAAACATTTTGCTCGTCAATGCACATTAAAAGCCGCTCTACTGGAAAAATCTTAATTAAACACTTGACTTTTGGGTTTGGTGGGGGGAGGCGAGTTGGGGATTGGGGCTTGGTGTTTGGCTTGCTTTGTTGTTTCAGTTGGAAAGCGTCGGCAACTATGGCAACTATTTGCGGAGAGGAGGTTTTCAATTCACAAAAGTTGTCGCATGACTTGCGCAAAAGTTTTCCTCTCAGAATGTTTGAGTATGTGTGTGTGTGTGTGTGGTGGTAGGGGAAAGACTGCAAAACAGTTTCACATATGACGATGATGGTGGGGTTGAATGGCAGTCCAAGATGATGGCACTTAACGGCAACACATGGGGCTGCCGTCGTTGCTTGAATTAAATTTTATATTCCTTTTAACTTTGCGTTATACTTAGTCAAAGGCGAAAGCCAAAAGCCCGCAGAACCAACTTTGCCAACTTATTAAAGCAACGTTATTATGCATATACATACATATATCGTAGTACTCGTGTGTGTGTGTGTATGTGTCGCAATTGACGAAAAGTTCCGTCATTAACATAAACTTTCGTCAAAGCACACAATTTTCCAGTGGCACAGAGAAAACGACCGCGCCAAAAAGAGTAGCATATTTCCCTTCTCTGATCTTAAGGTGATGCATTCCTAGATACTGTATAGACACCTCAGTCTTACTTATAAGTAGGTTTAGAATGGACAACACCCTTGACATGTTTCTTGTAACAAATTACTTACCCATTTATCATTCAAATTTACTGGCACTAATCTATTGGCTTTCAAAACTGAATATCGATACAAGCACGAGCATAAGGAAAGGTGCTATATATTCAGTATTGCATTCGACTGCTGTGTGCACACTCGAATGTGTGGCAGCAACGGAAATGAGGTCGCTGCAACGAAGGTGCGGTGCACTTCTGCAGGAAGCAGCGCCAATCCAGTTATTCTGCGCGGAAATGAAACACGCTTGTGGACCGTAGGGACCTGCAAAGGGACCTTTGCTGTTCCATCTGACAGTTGGTACAAATTTTAGTTGAATTTTAATCTACAGGCAATTTGGGTGCCTCGATAAGGTGTGAATTGATGAAAGGAAAAAACACTGTTTGTCGTACGTTTTACAATTTATTTATTTACTTTACTTTTCTCATAATTTAATTAATGTTTATGGTTTTTATATATACTCGAGTCTAAGTTGTTTATTTCAATTTAATTACACTTTTTATTTGGTTGCTCTTCGCTTCGCTTGGTTTTCGCATCTCAAAGTAAATGCTGCATTTACTTGCACGATAGAAATATGTGTTGTTTATGTTCATAGAATGAATAATAAATTATATATTTAATTAATTACAATAAATTGCATAACAAAAATGAGCCCCCTTCTCTTTTATAATTTCGCTCATTGCTTGGTTCAAAACATACACTCGAATATTATATTTTTATATCCGATATTTTTACAAAATTATAAATTTTAGTACTATTTATTATTTTTTTTGTTCGATTTAATATATGTATGAGCTTTAATTTTGTATGATTTTTATTTTGAAAATGGGTCGTCGTCCATATGCAACAAAAATATTGAAATTTCCATTTAAAAATTACAATTTTATTGCAACGTCAACGTTTTTCAGAATACACTTTTATCTGATTTATCTGATTTTTTTTGTGTACATATGGTAGTATATTTGTATTACTATTGGTTTTTATGTCTCTAAGTACATTACATTATCTGATGATACATAAATTTGACTGTGAAAAATGTTTTCTAGTCCAATGCGGCAGCTTCTATCATATTTTATAGCAATTACAATGACTGTGTTACTCGCTTTACTAGTTTAAGAAATTCGTTATTCGTTTTTGTTTTGTTTTGTTTTAACCATTTCCTTAGTACTTTTAACCCCATTTGAAAAGCTCATTTGATCAGAAAATAGAATGATAAAATCAAACTGAATTATAAAGTAAGAAGGAACCCCGCTACAGAGTATAGAAAAATGCACTGCTAAGCAGAAGAGGGTTGCGCGTCGCTTCTCTCCGGCTTCTACTTGAGCTCCTCCAGAGCTCCCGTCTTCTTGTTCTTCTTGACCTGGGCATACAGGGAAGCCGCCTTGTAGTTGATGGGCCCATAGTGTTGACTCTCGAGATCAGCATAGATGAATTCATCATCGAACCTGGTGGCATTCAGTGGCTGTTTTTGTTTTGTTTTGATTGATAAGCAGACACATTACTTCTTTAGACATTTTCTAATTGCTTTTATGGCTGGGCTCTGGGTCATGCGCGCGGCTCATTGGTTAGGTGCAGCTTCTCTCATGCATTTCAATAATCTAGTAGTGCCATTTTATTGTATTTAATTGCTGGGATTAATCTTTAAGCTTTCAGTAAACAAATGGTAGCTGCAGGGGGACAGAGAATTATAGAGGTTATGTGTCAGTACAGATACACAATTCTGGGAGGATCGGTATCGGACTTTGGATCGGATCGGATGGAAGATATCAAAAGCAGAAAACCATATACGAAGACAGCGGGTGCGACAGTTGAAATAAATTAATTTGTTGTTGTTTGATTTATGATAATTATAACAAAGATTATTGAACGAAACAAAGAATTTACCTTTTTTTTTCTATTGTGACATATAACATTTAGCTCAGTTTTTTTGAAAATATATTTTTTGGATTTTTGTTTTGATTTGAAATTTAAACAATTAATAATTTAGTATATATAGGTATTGCTGCTTTTGTAAGGATCCTCAAAGTCAGAAACATGCTATAAAAAATTACAATTTGTTTAATTTAGGAGACATTGTGATAGCTTTTTTTGTATATTTTGTAAAGTAAGTGGGAGAATAACTTTCCAAAAATCAATATAGTATGCCGCCTAAGAGACTTTTCAAGTTGCTTTGGTTTCAAATTATTGCCATAATAATAAGTAAGAACTAAAACTAGAAAGTACCTAGAAAATGAGGGTCTAAATAAAAAAACGTATGTATACCCTCATTTATTTTGTATGCCCACACATTAGCTACATATCTGTCTGCATTTATTATTAAATTATCTTATACACATGACTATCAAACTTAACACACACAGTCTGATTTTCCTACAGTACTAGAGTACTTAATTAACTTATCTAATTCATGTTTTGCTTATGCTAATAGTGATAAACGATAGATGTACATGTCGATAGTTAGCGCCAACTAAATAAATGCTTTTTGGTTGTGTGATTCGATTCGGTTAGTGTTGTTAGACTGGTCTAAGTGCATTTGCTTTTGTAATTGTATTTCTGTATTTTCATTTGCATTTGCATATGCATTTCAATGGTTTCGATTTGCTTCTTCTATTGAGAATAATAAATCTTAATGTTAATGATATTTATGTCGGAATGTCAATGTGTAACTATCTATATACACTAGCAATTAGTGCGAGTCTTCGAAGATTAAACACTTTTTTATTTAATCCTATTTGCAAGTATCATGTTACATATATATATTTATACGACCAATGGATGATTCATTCTGGCTGAGAATATCGGCAATGTGGGAACAGGAATGTACGGACAACGGACTCTGGAAATATTTCTTTAATGATAAGCCGATATTTTTTGATTGTTTCAATCTAACTTATACCTTACCATATTTCACTTTTTTTCGGTTTGCCAAGCTTATATAAATGTTGCAGTATTTGGATCTTACAATCTAAGTGAATTTTACACTCGCACATCTCATTGCCTCTGTTCATATAATATTTAATACCTTGTATGCGTCGCGTAGGCCTGTTTTTCTTTGGTGAATTTCGAAATTTTGCTTTCTAAATGTGAACTTCACGATAGCTTTGGGTCATAAAGTACTTGAGTGCACCTGCAGTGGCATTGGCAATCGCCGATTCCTGGTTGGAGCTACGTACTGGCGTGTTGGTCGGTGCTGTTGTGGTCCGCAGGCTGCTGGCATCATCGTTGTCGTTATCGTTGTCCACCATGTACTCCTCTTCGCAGAAGCTATAGCCCAGATCTTCGTCTTCCTCCACCATCTCTGGTGCAGATGATGGCTGTGCAGATAATTCTATTGCCTCCTGCGTGGTGGGCTCATTCTGTGGGTAGCTTGACCGCGGAAACATAAAGTCTGGATGCGTTTTAGTTAGAAGCTCTAATGCCTCTAATGAGGCGGCGGGATTTAGTTGTCCAGTTGCACCAGAGGGCTGCTGTGGCTGCACCAACGGGGAGGCCTTCGACTCTTCTGTATGCTCTGCTTCGGCAGCTGCCATGGCTAGAGTTGGCGAAATTGGCTTGAAGGCATGCCGCTCATTCAGAGCCAATGGACGATACATCAGAGAGCCCACATCCTGCTCCATTTGCTCCCTCTCCCGCTGCTGATGCTGCAGTTGCTGGCGCAGCTGTTGCAGACTGCCGTTGGCCGTCTGGTTGCTCTGAAAATGGAAGGTGTGGTGCTTACGCAGTGGTAGGCGTATTGGCCGTCGCACCACCAGACAGTCGTAGGCCCCGCCATCCGCCAGGGGCCGAATGACCGGATTCAACGGCGGTACATATCTCAAATTCTCGACGGTGGTGAAAGAACCTAATCTGGATGCCTGCAGCAGCAATTCATTTGGCATTAGCAATTGTTCTTGATGTTCTCCACTGGCACTAGCACTGGCATTTGCATTTGCATTGGCATTGGCATTGGCACTGGCGCCATTCCCGATCTTGATGTGGCTAATGTCCGTGTTGCTGTTGCCAATTTGCTGCTGGCGTGCTGCTGACGTTGCTGCTGATTCAACTGTCGCAGATTTGGTGGGGCAGCTATCACCGTGGGCATTAGGGGCTTCTGTATTGTGGCTGTGGGTAATAGAGGCGTCGACATCATAGTCGGCTGCTGCGTTTGCATACCCATCGTACAGCCGCCGTTTGATATGTGCGTAGGGGTCGCTGATGGTTTGCCGTCGTAGTTTCTTGTTCCCGAGGCAGCCGCCGCTGTTGTTCCGTTTATTGGCTAGAAATGGATTAGTAGCCAGCGTTTTGTTGGTCTATTGTTAGTCGAGGGAGTCGAGGTTCAAGTTGAATCATGCAACAACATTAGTGGCGTAGTGGTGTGGCGTGTTGTGAGTGCGGCAGTGTGATTGTTTTCGGTGTGTATCCAAGAGATACAAAAGCAAAACAAAAAGCAAACATGAAAGTAAATTAAAAAAATAATACAAATCAACCATTTGATATAAAGATCATTGGGGAAGACGTTCGATGTGCTCTTTGCTGAATTATAATCCTTAAATAAGTAAAGCAGTTCGAAGTACATTTTTACCCATTTTTTAATTGAGTTTTAAATATTAATTTCTCGACCATTTTTTAATAAATAAATTTTCAAAAAATTACACAAATGTGAAATACAAAAACTGAAGTAAACAGACGGACAAATCGACTCCTCAGAGGGGTAAATTCCCCGATAAAAGCAACCAAAATTGAAATGGTGTTAGCCATGACTTTGATAAATAAACTAAAGAGCTTCCCTTGGGGGTTCTGCAAACTTCTGTAAATTCTGTAAATAGATACGCACCTCGTGAGCATTGTACTGGGGTGGTGGCCCTGTTTTACATTTGCCTCTTCCGGTGGCATTAAGACTGCTGGCCACGGAGAGCGTGGAGGCCGAGTGCGTCGGATGGTGGCCCAGTTGGTACTGCTCGAAGTCTTCGGGTGTCGTGATTTCATTCGCCATGGCCGCCTGATTGTGCTGATGCTGGTGACGGGGGAAACGGAGGGAGGCAGCTGTGCCGCTGGTGCCGCTGCTGTACAGCGATGTGCAGGATGAGAGCGTTGTGGGATCCGCAGCGAGGGCCACTGCATGACTGGTGGACGAGGCGGATTCATAGGACGAGTGCACATGTGTTGGCGACTCTGCATGAATCAATCCCGCACACTGTCCATCCATATTAATGTAGACCGTTTTCCGACATAGTGCACCAGATGCGCTGGCATTGGCCATTCCCCCTGCCCCTGCCCCTGCCCCAGGCCCTGATTTGTGGGCCTTCGATGGGCGGTGCTGCTGCTGGGACAAGCCCGATGGCAGTTGGGACTCGTAGGAGCTGTTGGATATGCCCGAGTCGCTGCGGTAAATGCTCAGGCGTTCGGGCTCCATCAGCTGGAACTCCGCGCCACTTCCTCCACCTCCTGGATCATTTTTTTGCTGGTGATGGCGATGGTGATGTTTTTTCTTTTGCTGGACGACAGCAGATACCCCTAGCCCACCTCCGCCTCCACCAGAGTGCGTGTGCAGCTGCACAGTGGCCAGATTTGGGTTTGGATTGGTGTGAAGGTTACTGCTGCCGCCGCCCATGTCCATGGCCGCATCATGGCCGTTGCATTTCTCCACTACGTTCTCGTAGACGGGCGGATCATAGAGGCGCATGGGCTTGCCACCGGAGTCAATATCGCTATGGCTATTGCCAGCAAAGGAATGATGTCTCTTGCACTTCGACGCCAAGGATGTGTCGGTGGCCGAGGTGGGGGACGTGGTCGAACCCAGTGGAGTGCTTATATTCCCATTGTACGCTGCTGGCTTCTTGACCTTGGTGCCGCCGCCTCCCGGGAACTTTAGAGAGTAAAACTTCTTGTCCATGTCCACGACTCCTTTGCTCTTCTTTCCCCGCTGCATGCTGCCGTGCAGCTCCTCCCCCGCTGCATCATACTTGCGGAAGTTACTGGCCGCCAAAAATGGGTTCGTGTTGAGCAGCGCCGTGCTGGGAACGGGTGGCGGCGGCGGTGCCGGAATGCGCTCCACCACGGCATAGGTGGGCTGATAGTCGTGCTCGATGGCATTCAGGAGCTGCACATTCGACGAGGAGTTGGTGCCGAACTTTTGCTGCTGCTGCGACGTGGCCGGTGGTAGTTGTTGTTTCTGGATCTGTTGATGCTGCTGATGCTGCTGGTAGTATTCGGTGTAGCTCTTGGGGAAGCAGTTGCTCAAATTATATTGCACTTGATGCGTGCCAGAGTCCAGTCCCTGATTATGTGGGGCTGGCAGGTGGTGCATGGTATTGTATTGTTGTCCAGGTTTCTGGTGCTGATAGTGTTGCTTCTGCTGCTGTTGCTGCAGGTCGCAGTAGTGTTGCTGCTGGTGTGGATGAGGATGTTGCAGAGTCTGGTGATGCTGCTGTTGCTGATGCTGGCTGTTCGATGGCTGACTGATACTTCCATTGAGTCTCTTGGGTCGTGGAGCTACGCGCACCACATTTGTGTTGTTATTAAAATTTGTGGGGGTAGTAGAGAACTGGCATATAGGAAGCATGCGGCGTGTTGTTGTTAGGCAGAGCCGAGCAGACCGGGGAACAGCAAGAACAAGGCGAGCGATGGTGGAAAAAAGACACTTGGATTAGTTTTTGGGTTAGTTCTGTATGGTTTATATTATTCATATTAGTCATATGGAAAAGCTAGGCAAGCTAAGAAATTTTTGGGACGTGTTTGAGCAAATCTTTTGGGAGGAGATTTTTTTTTTTTTTGGTTTTGTGTATTACTAGCGAACAACATTGATGGTTCAAGGGATGGGTGTGTTTTAAATTAGAAGAAAATGAAATATAATATAGTCTTAATTTTACACTAATTATACCCAAATTACAAGAAAAGAAATACTTTAAATCTAATTATAAACGTAACCTATATAATTATGGTGTATAATCAGCAAATAATTGAAAAACCAAAGGCTAAGATTAACTTGGCGGCACTTAAAAAAATATACATATATGAATTAATTTTCTTGTCGTTAACTGAAACGAATGTCTTGAAAGTTTTCGCTTCAGCATGGTAAGGAATGGAAAAAAAAATACTCGGAAATGACCTGTGTGAAACATATTAAAAATGAAGCAGAAACAACGCTAAACAATGTCAAGAGACACATTTCGAGGGTCGCTATAGATTAATGCAAGTGTTCTACGAGTATATGCTATAGATAGCTCTATATATGTATTTATGTAGGCCAGAAACAATATAGATTTTTGGATAGTTTTATAGCAAAGAATTAAACGATTCCCGACTTTCAAATGAAATCAATGCAATGCAAAGACACTTAAAACGGGAAACCAAATCAAATCATAAGAGAGATATACATCGATCGACAAAAGGCAATATATATAGAGAAAGCTTGGGCATAGGTATAGTATTTGTATATCATGTATAAGGTTTTTTTTTTTAGCTATATTAAAGAGTGTTTTTGAGTGCGCTTCTCGAGTGACAGGTGTGTATATAGTATATAGTATGTAGTATGTGGTTTGTGAGTGAGTGGTTTCCAGTGAGAGCAGTAACAAATTCTAGGGATATGTAGTTAGGGTAGCTGAAAAATTCGTTATATCCGTACCTTGTTAGGTGCCGTTTGCAGACCATGAAACGGTAGATTCTCATACTCGCCAGGTTCCGTCAATGGTTCCCCCAGTGAAGACGACTTGTCGTGTACTATATATATCGGGGCACACACGGGTACGGATCGGTTGATTTTGCGATTAGTGTTTTTGGTTGTATTTTTTCATAACGATTGGGGTTTATTTTTGTGTCCATTTTTATTGTTTTATCATTTTTTTGATTGGAAGCAAACGAGATAAAAATTAAATCAAATTATTAGAAAGAAATGGAAGGATAAATAAATTGTATTGAATGGAAATAAGTAAAATATAAATTATAGGCTAAAACCGTTTCACTAAAATGAATTGTTAATTATCTTTTTTGTTTTCTTTTCTTTTTAAACTAATCTAAAGACCTAGTGTTTCCCTATTGAAATAATATAAGTTTTTTCTTGATTTATTCAGGGGTATTTTACTCTTGAATTGAATGCTGAAACATGCTTAAATTTGAACATTAACGAAGCATGCAACATCGAGGTGCATAGCAAACTGAAAAGTTAACAAAGAAACATTTAATTATACAACAGCATTTGATGGCTTGTGCTGTCCTTTTTTTTTATTCGTTTCTTACTTGTCGTCGTGTGGTGTTATATGAGCATCTCGGCGTTTGATTCATTATAGTAAATTACTTACGCAAAAGATTTTTAAAAATAAATTAGAACATTGAGGAATTTGTAGAGATTGCAATGATGTTTTTTGGCAAATGATTAATGTTGGATACCATGAGATAATAATATCAAATAATATTGAATAAAATCAGAAAAGGTAGCTTTCTTTTTCTTGCATATTTTCATACAGATGAAATCTCATTTACTTGATCGAATTTGAAAGTCTATTCACAGATGCGTTCCATTTCGAGCAAGTCACCTTGTATCAATAAGCTTACACAAAACAAAGTCATGTTGGAATATTTGTTAGCAATATATTGCAGAAACATGAAGTCAAAATAAAGGAGAAAGCTACTCGAAATTAAGTTTAAAAAAAAGTATACAAGAAACGTGTAATAAAATGTAAAATGGTTCATGGACAAAAGGGCCAGGAACCATCATGAGTGATGGGCTCGAATGAGAATGCGAATGCGAATGAGGATGAGATGAGATATAGTACCTATGAATGGTTAAAGTGACTTGCGACATGTATTCTTACTTTGGACGTGTTCGACCTTGCTGTGGGGGGAGGAGACCAGTATGCTTCGTTTGGCCATTGGTGGCAGGGAGGAGGAGCAGGCGGTGCCCATGCCCTGCTCCCTGCTGGACCTGACTTTGATTGGAATGCCGCTGAACGGACTGCTGTTGCTGTTGGTGCCTTTCAACAGTGCCTTCTGTGGGTGGCCAAGGCCTGGTGGCCTCAGTGGCAATGTGGGTGGCGGTGGTCGCGGCGGCGGCGTTCGACCACTCCGACCGTGTGGTGGTGGCTGTTGCTGAGGGAGCGATGAGGTCGCCGGCTCGCCAGCGACGAGTTGTAATGAAGAATGGGCTCCCTGTGAGGGAATTGCGAGTGCTTTCCTGATTACGTCTGTTGTTGCTGTTGTTGTTGTTGTTGTTTTGGCCGGATCGGTTTCCTTGTCTAATGAAGGCGCTTGAAATGTCACAGAGGCACGTGATGGGACACTGCTGGGAGGACTTTTCACCGACGTCGTTTCCCCTGCTTTTGTGGTTGTTTCATTAGTGCCTGAGTTTGCGGGCGTCTTTTTATAGGTGACTATGTACAGGTGATTTTATGTGCGTGTTTATGGACGTTAGGCATTGAGGCAAGGCAACGTAATATGAAATGTAAAATAAAATCAAGCGAATAAATCAAAATAAATCATAATCCAAAATGGTAATGGAATATCAACAAAAATACTCTACCACTGCCACTGCAACGTATCCCCTTGAGCCTATGCTGTGCTCCGAATGGGGAGGAGGAGGAGGAGGTGCTATCGTTATGGCCACCACGTCCCCGCCAAAAGGTCTGCAATAGGCCCACATGGCTCCGCTGGCTATCCCGAGTGCCATCATCCGATGACTTCTTAGTCCTCTGAAAAACAAATGCCAGAATGCGCTCCACTTTGCTGGCATTTGCACAGGACGAGGATGAGGACGATGCTGTTGCAGCTCCTGCTGCTGGTGCATCTGTTAGGTTCTCCAGGCAGGCTGCTCCCTCTGGGGCAGTCTCCGCCTCATCTGTTGATGGTAAATGTTCTTCTTCAGCCTTCAATCTCGTCACTGCCCCCAAAGTGTGGCTCCCCGTTCCCGTACCCGTTCCGGCTTCCGTAACCACCGTCACCTCAGTTAGCATTGTGCTGTTGGAGTTGGTCTGGCTCTCGTTCAACACGGCACTCAATTGGGCCGACAACTGACTTGCATTGGCCACATTCACATTCCCACTCGTATTCGGATGCGGATTCGAATTCGGATGGGGCTTCAGTGTCATCCGATTCACGGCCAGATTTTCCTTGGTATCGCTGCTCACGTGGAGCATTACACCCGGACGGAGGGGCCAGCGTGGTGGGGATTTGGGTGCATTGCCATTGAAGCGTGTGACAGGAGGGGGTGTGGATAAGATCTCATTGTTATTCTCAGTTTCGGGTTCGGTATCGGGCACTGCCAGTATTGGTTGGACCTGCTGCTGCTGCTGCTGTTGTGGCCTATGATTCGCTGCCGATAAGGTGGCTGGCAACAGACTAGCCGACGTATCTTGAATAGGCAGTGCCGCGCCCACTTTTGGCATTACTGGCTGATACGACAGCACACTAGTGATCATTCATTTCCGATGTAACGTATGCAGGCAGGTGTAGGCAGTGTGTAAGTGTGTTCGGATAAGAATAAAGCAAGCGGGTGGGCAAATGGCAATATGTCCACGTAAAAGTGTCGTTTCGTTGTGTGAAATATCGGTGGCAATACAACAGTACATACAGTATTAAATTTGTTCGCAGTGCACACAATTTGCAAGTTAAAAATGTACCGAGGCAAGCGTATTATTTTGTGGAACGAAACATAAGAAGAAATATAAAATTGTAAAAATATGGAAATGGCAAAATACAACAATCCGAAGATTGATACATAGCATGCAAATACTTAATAAAATTATCAAAAATAAATTAACATGAATATAAAGCTACAGTCGATATTCCGACCGGAATTATACTATTTAAGGTACCTAATTAAATACATATGTATGTACTATACATGAAGGGAGATTGTAATACTCGAATATTAATCATGAAAAGAAAGAGTCCCACAGTTCAAGTCTTATGGATGCTGTAGGCCATTCTTCACCTTTGGGGAGGTTATTATAAAAATTGGCATTTTGATTTCAATCAGACTTTAGGTGCATATGCACAGCAAAGGATGTCATCCATAGCTCATTTAACTCCTAAATCCAGATATCAAAACAGACAGACACGACTTATGGTTCTTATAGAAATTACTTTTGAACATGGTCAGTTGTAGAAGCTCGACTTTGTATTCCCTGTCCTAAGCAAGTTGCAAATAAAAATGCTCTAATTAATATTCTCAAAATCTGTTGTAGGTACAATTGTTAGCTACATCAAAGCAACTTCAATTACTTTTACTATTAGTTACATATTTCCAAAAGCTACACAAATCGTATGAATAGTAGGAGATTGATTATTCACTTACCTTTGGCTGGCGCTTATTGATACTTCCGTGTGATCTTTATACATGTTGTAGATGTGTAGTAGATGTGTGTACGAGTGTGTGGGGATGTTCGAGTGTGTGTACGTACGCATTTCATGCATATTTCGTGTTGTTAGCGATTAAAACAGCGTGTAAAGTTGCACCGAGCAGTCGAGTCGGGAGGCAAAGCGGAGTAGCATAGAGACACAAATACAATGGTTGTACATATGTTGATGGATATTCATCGAGAGACATCAAGCGATAATATTATACATATGGACAAGCAGTGGGCGTAGCAGGCGGTCGCAGTTTTGTTTATTTGTTTGTTCATATGGTTGTTAATTAGTTGTAGATGGTAGATGTATAGGTGGTTGTTGTTAAATTCAAAATAATGTTGATTTGTAGCATGTTTTGTGTGTGTGTTTTATCGAGTGTACGAGTGTTTGCGGTTCATGTTTGCCGTTGTTGAAGAATTAAAAAGATACAATCGAACCGAACGAATGTGTTCGGATGGGAGACAATTTTTATGATTGCAAATAAAAGAGAGAAAAAAAAGTGGTCATCGTAATTAAATATTCTCGTTTTAAACAAACTCCTAGTGTTTACTATATCCTGATCAAATAAGCGCTTAAAGTCGCTCAAAGAATTTAATTTGAATAAAATTCTGGTTATATTCTCGAACATATTCATATGTCTGCTTGTTCTCATGCAATCTGGGGCCAATTCTCAAGTTTTTGTTTTTTTCAGGGGAACTGAGATATGTATCATATGATGATTAAAAGAACATGCAAAGAGGCAATACAAAAAGCTCAGCACATGCTTTGGGATAACATAACATAAAAGATAAACTAACTCAAAACTAGAAGCAGGTTAACTTAAATAATCGACATAATAAACCAAAATTGATTGTATATTTCGGGAATAGGTTCAATGTTTTTCGAGTTGGCCTTAACATATATTCTGCACGTATATTCTGTTTTCTAATATTGTTCGTTTCGATATTTTGCCTAAAACTATGCGATTTTTGAAAAGGGTTTCCATTAAAGCAGAACTTTTTGTCATCTTAGCGAATTTATGTAAATACATATATTTGGTTGTTGTTCTTTGGTTTGCCAAAGAGTACTCGTACTCACATTTATCTTGGCGCCGGCGACGACGGCAGACGCATATGATTATGCAGCAAATGATAATGACGGCCAGCAGCAGTCCCAGTATGGCTGCAACCAGAATGATGAGTGTCGTCTTCTCCCAACGCTGCCACCAGGCCAATTGTTCTGTTTTTGAGGAATAGTGAAGAGCATATTATATATTTACGATTGCAATCATTGGTAGTGGAAACGGAAAGCTCTAAAGGACAACTTAGAGTGAATGGTATGGTATGGTGGGTGGGGGGTGGGGTTGCGAAAAGTAATTTATAAACACATGCAAATTTCTCAAGAGTGACATTTGGGATTCAAGTCTGACTGCTTGAATGTGAGACCGAGCCCCCCGACCCCAGCCCCAGCCGCAGTTGCATCCTCTTCCTGCACAGACAGGACAAGTCCGTCTGGCTTTCCGCCTCTTACATTTATCATCTTGTCACACGGCTTTTCCTTTGAGAACCAAACTCCCTGCTCTTCACATGTGCCCTGACAACATGTGCTTTAGTTGTCTTTCATTGTCTTCTACTATACATATATCGCACATAACTCAGATGATTATCATCCGAACATATGAATAAGTCTGTGACCACATCGGTAGGATTTCTCCCCCTCATATTCCGTGCCTAACAAGGCCGCCAGCAAACAGTTAGCGATGCGACAGATTTCTAACTGAACTAATGGGACACTCTCTACAAATGAAAATTAAATGGTGTTCAATATGGATTTACTTACTCTTTGGGCGCACTATTTCGATAGAAAGCATTCAGTTAGTGTTTAGCATGAGAGGGGATTACACACAATTTTGGGAGTAAAAATATGGCAAAAGAAAAAAACAGCATAATCAAAGAGAGTTTTTAGTAAAATTGTAGCATACTTTGGGGTTCATTGAACCGTATAATGAGAATACTTAAAGCATTAATGGAGGTTTCTGTGTTCAACAAATAACAAATGGATCTATGCTTCGGCCTTTACCTTGCCACCAAATAAAAAGCGCTGAACCAGCTGTCAAGATAATAAATAAAAAATATTTTGCAAATTTTGCTGTAGAAACTTGAAAGATATTTAGGCCGATTGAAATATTTTTGGAATGAAATGAATATGTGTTTTGAGCAGCATCTGATTAAGCAGGAGACGAAATATATGCTGTATTTTTTTTCGGCAATCTTAACTATTTTTGTGTCTTAAATTATGAACCAATTACAAATATTAGCCCACAAAGGCGACCAATATTTATTTAGACTTTTAGTGGTTAAAAAACGGAAATTTCATCAGAATCGATTCTCTTCTCAGAGTAAAAAAAATACCTTTTTCATATTAAGAACTTCTTAAGAATATTTTGTTAAATGTAGCATTAGTTTATAGAAATATTCGTCAGATTTAAAGGGCTTTTTTTTGGTGTTGAAGCGCAGCGACATGGCAGTAAAAAGATTGTTGTTCGACAAGTTACAGTGAATATTACTTACCAGCAACTTCGATTTCACAGAATGCACTCGACCCGACCGTATTATTGGCCACGCATCTGTAGGTCCTGGCAATGGCATAGTCTTCCTGCAGGACATAAAAGCTCTTGTCCGCGTGCGCTTTCTCATCGCCGCTGCCCAAATATTCCACAGTTTCATTTTCCGCCTTAATTGACCATGAAAAGTCAGCCTGAAAATATAGAAAAATGGAAGAAAACATATTCATTGTACATCCCATGCTCCTTTTTAGTTATATATGTTTTTAATTAAATCTGTTTTAAGTTCATGTTGATTCCTTTTCCCCATTTAATCGATGGCTGGTTGGGTTATTGAATTTTCATCTTGTCGCTCGTTGAATAATTTCCAATCAAATAATTTCAACCGACTGACTCCTCACCTCCGACCGCTGTGTGCATACATCCACGTACTTTCCGTGGGCGTCTCTCTGCGGTTCTTGGCTTATATGCGTGGCTATAAATTTCAGTGTTTTCTTCTCCCTTATATTTCTCCTTCGCTTATTCACGTACTTCTTAAATTGCCACGGTGTGGCACCGCCACAACTCTAGTAACGGTAACGATGGCGGAGGAAATGCAATTTCAGAGTTGCAGGAAAAAAGAGCCAATCGAAAAAAACGAAGTGAAAATAATTCCGAGCAGAAATGCTGCTCTGATTTATGCGGCACATGGTTAAATGCGAATTTTAAAATGTTTGCAAGTTGCTACCAAACCCAAAACCAAACCCCGCGACTGAGAGGTAAACTTTGACAGTTACCAGAACCACAAATAGTATTAGAATATTATGAGAAAAGTGAGGAGATTGCATACCTCCACAGGGTTTCCGAATGCTGTGCAAATCAGTGTATCCTGATCGTCGATCTCACGTCTCTCAATTTCACAGCGCGGTTTGACTAAAATCAATATGAAATCAAACAGAATAATACGATTAATGAACAGTCAAAATATGCATATATAGTAATTATTTTATACTTACACTGCACATCGATGACTGTTTCGGCCGTGCTCTTGCCATGCTTGTTGAAGGCCAGACAGGTGTAGGTGCCACTGTCGTTGCGTTGCATAGGAGTATTGATGATCAGTGTTTTGCCCCTTATCGTTTTGTCCTTGAAACGCCATTCATACGAAGGTTCTAAAAGTCACAAATTGAGTAAATATATGCACTCCTAGGCATTGCATTGCATGGCCAAAATACTGACCTGGTTTGCCAAATGATTGGCATATGACCTGATCTGGTGTGGTACCTTCCTGCACATAGACAGTGGTATTTGCAACGGTCGTATTGATGGGAGCATCTATCACATCAAAGAGATATATAAACTGTAAATATAAATCCATCTTTTGCGCTCGACTTTTACTCACATTCAATGTTCAAATAGGTGTCACCATTGATGCCAGGTCCCACGGAATTGTTCGTCGAGACGCATTTGTAGTTCGCATTGTCTGCCAAGATATCGAATTTCGAATTTGGCCAATTTGACAGGTTAAAGTGCTGCAATCGATTAGAGGAACACAACACAATATGTCAGACAGTGGTAACAATTTGCACAAGATACTTTTTGATTTGGTAATCGGATATACACGCGTATGAACACAATTCGAATACAATTTGCGATTGATTCCATTTATTATGTGAATCCGACAACTAATTGCTACGAAATTCGAAACTGCAAGCTCATTTTCAATCAGATGTTTCGACTTACCAAAACCGATAGCATGCTCTCAAAGTCGCCCGTTGCCGGTGAGGCATCCATATACTTCTCCTTGACAAAGTAGCGGGTATCGTTCTTCTCAATGGGTTTGCCATCCTTCTGCCAGGATATCTCACAGCGCGGAACGCACTCAATGCGACAGGTTAGATTGGCATTGCGGGTGGTGTGCAGCACACCCGTATACTGTGGCAGGTTCTTGATGAAAAATGGCGGTGCGTGCACCTCCAAATTGACTGTGGCCATTACGCCCTTGCCGCCCTCGTTGTACGCATAGCAGGAATAGTTGGTACGGCTGTCGAGGCCAACAGGTTCCACCGTCCAGTCCCTGGTGACAATGTCCTGCAGCGGACCGCGACCGCCTCGCAGCCAACGATATCTGTTGGGTTGCAGAACCATTTGAGCGACAAACGTAAATTTGCCCATTTTGCGGTAGAGTGCATAGGACGAGGGCGAGGACGAGGATGATGTCGGTTGTTGGGCCCCCGTGTATAGGGTCAAGATTTGCGATTGTGGCGTGTAGGTGGTGAGCGTGAGTAGTGTACAAAGGGAATGATTCAGATTTAAATCAATTAGAGCGTGAGTTTCTTTAATTTCATGGACTGCGGGTCGGGATACGGATGCGGATGCGAATGCGAATGCAGATGCAGATGCGGATGCGTCGCTGCTTGTTAATGTTCTTGATGATGATGGTGGTTGCAGCTGCAGCTGCAGCTCTTGCTGCCTTTGCAACAGCAGCGCCTCAAAGGCCAGGTCAGCCTCGTGCGGCTGCAGTGCTTGGACGGTGTGGTAGGCGATTAGTGGTGTTGGATTATGTGGTTGTGGGTTGATTTGGTTGTGAGTTTTTTGTTGTGATTCTTGTTGTTGGCTGGTGGTGGCTGTGTTGCTACAAACCTATTCGATTCCGGATAGCCCGGATCGTCCACAGAGCAAGAGAAGATGACGCTCTTCTTTTTCACAGCAACGAGGGGGAAGTGGGTAAGCGTAGCAGGTCCTGGCTCGTAATGTACCTGACAGAGAGAGTGGGTGAGAGAGAGAGGGAAATAAAATACAAAATAAAAGAGGGGGGTCGATTGAACCCACCATTAGCTCTTTCTCTTCGCTGCGTGGACCCCAGCCAGCAGCATTGAAGCCCTCGCAGGAGTAATTGTAGAAAAATCCACGTCCAATGCTCTCCAGCAACAGTTTGCTGGGATCAATATGGCAGAGATCCTCCTTTAAAATAGACGCACAATAAACTAGTAATAAATTCAAATGGCTAATGGATGGTGTCTTGGACTTACTCTAGTTTCCTCGCAGTCGGGCAGCTCTTTAAGCAACGTGGCATTGGCGTACCAACGCACCTTCGTGAGTACTGAAGGATTAGCCTCTAAAATATTGCAAAAGAGGGTCACGTTCGACTCGTCGCTTTCCTTCACAGGTCCCTCGGGTATCATTAGCACCTCCACAACGGGCACATCTGTTCAAATAAACATTGTCTAAGCAATACATTCTCTTCGTGTAGACTTAGAGCTTCTCTTACACTGGACATCAAGATCAATTTGCTGCTCCGATATGCCTTTGCCAATCGCATTCGATAGCTGGCACGAATAGTTGCCAACGTCTTCCTTATCGGTGGCCTTGATAACCAGAGCCACATTTTCCGAATTGCCGCCCTGATAGTGATCCGTATCATTCACATTGACAATGTCGCCATTGCGATACCTGAAAGTAGGATAACGAAAGCAATTTTGTTATGAAAACTTCCCATAAAACGTTTCATCAGCAGTGAAATGCGCAGTGAAATCCTCCTAAATCCTAGGATGGCAACGAATTCCAGATGAAAAATCACTATTTAAATTAAGTTTTCCGCCTACTCCTACTCTGGCTGGTGGCAAATTCTTTGCACTTTCCGCTCACATGAAAAACAAACATGAAAACCCCTTAAATGCACACACAAACGGCAGGCAGCGCAGCGACGTAAATGAAATATATGCCTTCTGCCCACATCTCGTGGGTGGTGGATGGTGGATGGTGGGTGGTGGGTGCACGTCACTCTATTCATTTACTGTGTAATTTCTCAGTTGCGAAATTACATGTGGTACATGTGGCATGGCATGGAGAATGGAGCCACTTGCCACAGATGACGACGAGGACGACGACGAGGACGACGACGAGTGTGTTTAAGTCTGGTGGCAGGCAGCACAGTACCCCAGTACCATCCCCATTCATCATAAACGCGAGGCTCACCCATACCCATCTACCCCAGCCCGCTTCACTCTCTCACTCTCTCACTCTCTCTTTCACTAATTAGAAGCGTGTGTTTTTCTGACAGTTTTGTGCTCTAGATATTTTGCCCCAAAGTGGAAGGCAGAGGTCGAGCGACCGACTCCACTAGCATACTAGCATACGCTGGCGGGAGAGGGAACGAAACGCATATCTTTTGAGTTTCAGATTTGACAAATTCAATATGCAGAACGCATATAATCATCGTACATTCATCGTGGTGTTGGGAGGATTCTGCGTGTGCAGGCGGATTCCCATCTCCAATCTCGCATCTCGAATATCACCAAAAATTGCAATTTGCGTGCCGTGAAATGAAGTGATGCGCTGCATTCGCGAAAATATGTCTGGCATTTGGCCGATGAAATTCGCGGAGCGGAGCGGAGCTCGTTAGCCACGTCCCTGTCCGCGTGTTTTGGTCACGAAAGCTTACTTATCCCGCTATGATTTTGCTGATTAATCTGTGTGGCTCTGCTACTGGCAGGGGCACGTGGATCAATTTGAAAAATGGATCTATCAGTCCAACATCTTGTTTAATTTAAAACGTATGCCGAAAATTGGTTGGTTGAGTCTCGCCCAATTCGAATTCACGGAGAGTAGGACATCGTCAACCCCGGCAGGATTCGATCTAAATTCACATTACGCATTTTCCGTTTTGATTTTCAGCTGCTGAATGCATCCTCGCAGTGGGAATGGACCGCGTGCGATGATGGGGCGGGGGAATACCGAGGGAGAGCGATGAGGTCCTCGGAGAGGAGATACGCCACGCCGTGCGCACTTGTCTAAACAGAATGCGGTTCGCACCGCACGCACCTTAACCCTGGCGGTGTCCGTCCGTTTGACTCCCCTACCTCGCCTACCTCCCCTACCCTCCCGTACCAGAATCATTCATTCTTGCGCCACGGTGTACTGCTGTCAATTTGCTTTTGTATTTGTTTTTAATTAGATTTTTGTTTACTGTGGAAATTGTAGTTAAATTGAGTCCTGGATACAGCCGTTCGTTCTTCCCCATCGCTGTCAGAGTCAGAGATTGCCAACCCTTTGAATGTCCCCTGAATGCAGCTTACACCTAGGTCAGACACATGTATGGCGCGTCAGGTCCTGCCTTGGGGGGCTCTCAGCACACAGGACACACACGACTTTAAGCAGTCGAGGACAGAGTCAGAGACCGGGACAGGAACAGGGACAGGGACAGAGTAGACGTCTGTCTCGTCTGTTTGTTAGCTTAATTTCATCTCTGCCTCATAAGTAAGTATTTGCTGAGGGACTTGAAATGAATTTCAATTTCTTTGCATTTAATTTCCAAGTCACACTTTCTTTGGGGGATTATTTACTTACCACACAACTTGGGTTAAAGATGCCGGATTGGCGAAATATTCACAATTCAGGAGGACTATTTCACTGGTATTTGTGACCATTTCAGGCGGACTGACCCTGACAACAGGAGGATCTGTTTGGGAGCACAAAAGTTGTTTGAATATTTCCATTGTTGATTGTTGATGATCCCTCTACTACTTACACAACACTTCCAATGTTTTGGTCGATGATATCGGCTTCTCTCTGTTGATTTGTAGTACGATATTCTCAGCCTCACATTTGAAAACACGATCATTCTCAAAGCGAGAGGCATTAAAGACGAGCTCTGATTGTGTGTGATAGGTGCCATCCTCCTTCTCGAACTGTAATAAATCAATTTAATTAAAGATTGCCCGAAAGATTGAGTCAAATTCACTTACCGCTTTTGTTCGTATCTCGGTTAAGTCATTCTCCTCTGGACTTATAGTCGATGTTGCATTGTACCAGGTGAGGTTAACAGCAGGGCGAGCCCCGTAAATCTATTAAAGCATTGAAAACTGTTCACAACTTGTCGACATATGCCCATTTAACCCGCCCTAAACATACTATGTATGTTATTATATTTCCATTAGACAACAAGTGCATATTTCCCCATACACACATTCGACTACACTCTGCAGTACCTTGATGGGATTGGCATAGAGGAGGCAAAAAGCGATTGCACAAAATTCCATTAAAACATAATACGCAATCAATATACAATTTTGTATAATTTTGCAGCGCCGAGAAGCCTTCTCTAGCTGCCTACTAGTATATTTCCCTACCACCAGCTCCTGTCGCTACAAAATTGCTCGACTCCTTCGATAAAATGCAACGAAAAATGCTTATACTCGAACAGAGGACAACGAAATCATGTAAAATGGCGGAAGTCCTTACGAGGCCTGTGACAATGCCTTGTCGAAGGTAAAAGGCACACACGTCAGAACACCAGAATACCGGAAAAGTACGAGTAGTTGCCTTGCCTTGCCGGTGGTGGTGGGGGTGAGGGTGGGTTTGTTGCTCCAGTTAAGGCCAGTGAGCAAGCCCTAGTCGACATAAGGCCATATTGAAAATCGTACAATAATTGGCAGTTAATTGTTATCAATTGCTTGAATGTGATGCTAACGATGCGATGCTAACACGCTTACAGGTGGCTCTCGACTTTTTTATACACTGCTGGAAAATCTATTTTTCATTAAGTTCTCCATTTAATATAAAATTCCCTTTATACTTTTATTCCCTGCATTAAATTCTCTATACTTACGTCACATTGTAGCACTACTTTGCTGCCCTGAACCGTATGATGTTCCACTCCCTTGATGAGTATGCTCTTTGGGGGCACTGTGGAGTAAGAGTAATATTCAGAAGTTACTTTAGTAAATTGCTTCAAATGTCTGCCATTGTAATTGGCTTTTGTCGGTACTTCCGGTGCAAGGATTCTACATTTTCCGGCTTGGCTCTTTTATAAACGAAACGAAACGAAACGATAATAAAGGCAATTTGCATTTGGGTTTAGGAATCAAAAGTCCTTTCTATCAACAAATTGGACTACTTTTTAATGTAATTCCTGAAGGAGGTTCAACAACGTTTAGGTCGTTGAGTTATTCAGGCTTTAGTTTTTTTCGCCATTTAGACTAGACTTTCGATTTAACATTACCTTGCAAGTCCACGCTAAATTTGGTAACAATCGCTGACTTTACCGCCGCTGATTCCACGCGACATTCAATGTCCTGAGCCAGATCCTCACGGGATAATTGCCAGTCCAACTCCAGTGTCGAAGTATAGAGGCCTTCGTTCAAATCGTGAGTGGGAGAGTCTGTGGATGGGCAAAAGGAGCATTAAGAAAGTATTCTACATCCAGTGAAAACAATGAAAATAATTTAATGGGAATCCTGACATGTCTTAAGAGTATTTGGCTAAAGGTTGTTAAACATTAAATGTCCGTTTTGGGATAATAATGATAAATATACTGAAATTCGAGAGGATTTTCTTTTAGTCTTTAGCCCAAGACTACTTGGGCTTAAAAGTATATGCATACTCGTATAAATAACCCTACTTTAACCTGGTTTAATTTTGAGGGGCTGGTCCGGTAGATTTATTTAAATCTCTCGTTCTAGTGCCGTGTACTTAAAAATTTAACAAAATTGCCTCTAACTTTACGTTTATGCTTCACAATAAAAGGACGTAGCATTTTTATGAGCTGAGCGCGGTTTGCTATGGCTATTCCTATTCCATATGCAAACTGATACGAATCAGGGCGGAGAGCACTCAAATCCCAGCCAGGGCCGCTCTTTATAGCCACTCGTCAGTCGTCGTCGTCGATGTCAGTCACTGCATTAAACTTTGTGGCGCATCGTAAACCCACCCACGGATCCATGGACTCACGGACTCACAGACCCACAGAGACTTTAGTTGGTTCGAAGGCTTATGCATCAAATTGGCTACTTAGCTCTGGTCTCCGTCCTGGAAATCAATAAACGCGCTTCGGTTGCTTTTACGACTATGATCTGGAAGCCAAAAACTGTTCGCCCCGCTACCTTTTTCAAGGAGTTGTCATGCTGCCACTTGTGGGGTTTGGAGTTTCTCTTAGGAATGGATAAATGGAGGGAATTTTTTTTTTGTACTCACACGTTGCCAGGCGCTTGGTGCCACGGAACCAGCCGACATCTGGCTGGGGTCGGGTGTTCTTCACGGTGCATGTGGCCTTCAGGGCCTGGCGCTCCTGCATGGGACCCACCACGCTGCCGTTCTCGATGCGATCGCCCTTTGCATCCAAAATCACAACCTCAGTGGGTGGCACTGCAGGGCCGACATCGGTCAGTGTTCGAAAATCCGACATACATATATGTAGAGGTGTTTTTCGGTTGGTATTCGGTTTTGTGTCGGTGTGTTTTGTGCGTAGGTGTTTCGGTTTTGGGTGTGAGTGTTGTTCAATTATTTGAAAGGTAGAAATTGTTGAATTCGTGTTTTAATAAATCATATTATTTTGGTCTTTGGTTTGCATCCAAAAAATTATAGCAATATCCCCCAAAAACTGAATAAGTTTTTAAATTAACATTAAATAAAAAATGAATAAATATTCAAAATGAATTAAATGAAATATGAAAAAAAAATAAAACAAGACAAATCCTAGAACAAGACTCTAAAAAAATGAATTTATTTAAATAAAAAACCAGGCCTATGGCCTAGAAATAATAATCCATAAAATTCCAAAAAAATATGTTAAGATAAAACGATACTTCTCAAGCATAAAGAATAAAACTAGGTTATTTTCTCTTCAATATGCTCATTGAGATTCTTGTTCTTGCTTAAGGTTATAACTAAAGAGAAACCATCGATAAAGGTATTAATGATAATTTATGAGTTTAATTTACCAATGTTTTCTACGTTGTTAGCACGTAGATATCATAGCCAAACGTTTTGTAGGTTGGTTTTTTTTTCGTATTTTGTTCGATTTGTTTTTTAAATGTTTTAATAGCAATGCGTTGGATGTTTTTAAATATCGAGTTTAGTTTTGCAAACATATTTCGAATGAAGTTTAAATTTAAATTGTTTTTAAGTTGAGTTCCACATATTGGGTTTTAGTTTTTCGGTTTTCGGTTTTCAGTTTTGCAGGTAAACATTGCACACAATATTGAAGAGGAAAAAACAAATTTGTTTGTTTTTTTTTTTTGGTGGGTGAGTACACGGTAGTAGTTGTATTTTTTTGTGTGTCGGTTTTGGTGCCGATGGGTTGTGATGTGAAGCAGATCGTGATGTGTCAAGAATTTTTTTTGGTTGAATTTCAAAATTTTTTTATTGTCATGGAATTTTGCGAATTTTGTTAGGTTGAGTATTAGATAACGATGCATGTATATGTATATGGTTGTATGTAGTGTGTGTGTGTGTGTGTTATAGGATGGTATGTACGTATTATAGGGGGGAGGATTTTCCATGTCGATGTTGACGAGCGTTTTTCATTTATTTTGTGGGATATTTTTTCGAAAAGAACAATCAGTTAAGAGAAAATATTTTCATGAGTTTTGACACGTTCAAATGTTTTTTTGGAAAAAGTAAAGAAAGAGAGAGAAGAGAGCGGTTAAGGGTAAAGTCGGTTGGGGTTGCAATTCGAAATGATCAATCATCAAATTTCGCACGATAGAACAATAACGTACACAAGACTATGGGGTTATATTAACAGGAGAAATGCGTGTAAAATTAGATATATGTATATCTCGCGATTAGGGGACAAGCACAATAAGCCTTATAAACAATTCCAAATCGGAGCACACATGCACCTCTGTACAAAATTTTTTTTTTTTTGCTTGGTTTTAGTTTTAAATTCAATTCTCATGCATTTGTATCTTAATTTGTACAGGTATAAGGGTTTGATTAAAAATGAAAGCAAGAAACACCAACAACAAATAAAAAGAAAGCAATTGAAATTGATATGAAAGAACATCAAATATTACAAGCGTTGGTTACATGCAAGAAAATGCTCCAGGGATCATTCCCTGGAGATCATTGAATGGGTGACTGACTGGTTGAATGGTTAAATGGGTGACTTACCTAAGACTCTCAATTCCACTCGATAGCCATTGAAGTTATCACACGTTTCTTCTGGTATAAAAAATGTTGTATCACATAGATAAATATCCTCATCACCTATTTTCAAGTCCTTAATAACTAGTCTGTATGGATTTTGTTCAACAGTTACTCTGTAAAAGGATGAAGGGGATTTTTGATTACAGCTTGATTTAAGCGGAACTCTTTTTACTCCTTAATTTTCTTACCTATCCTCAAATTCTTTATTCACACTCGTCACATTGCTATCGCCGAGCAGCATGGCAGCAATGCGATCGTCGCCTTTGAACCAATTCAATGAATGCAGTTTGCCGCATTTTTCCTCATTAACAGGACAGGGAAGGACCACAGACTTGCTCTCCTGTTCACTGATGGTCCGATCTGGAAAGATGAAATATTGTGGTTTAAGATGAGTATAACATAAAAGATAGCAAGTGCTAGGATTGTTTTAATGGCCATAACCATTAAATCAGCTTCTTGCCAACATTTAACTGTCTAGAAATTCCTTGCATACTAAGTTTATTCCCACAAATCCCTCATAAATTTCAAGAATATTTGAATAGTTCTTCTTCTTTCTCCATCCTCCACTCTGTCCATCTACTTTTGCTACTTTTTCTTGCTTTGGCTTTTTGCTCGACCCTAAAAGCATAAAAATACAATTTTCTTATCAGCTTAAAAGCCTATAACATAATTTGAAATTTACGCTCCATTTAAGTCGCTTCTACTGGTGTGTGCGTGTGTGTGCTGTACGAATACGTACGTGTGTGTGTGTGTGTATGTTCTGATTACAAAATATCATTTATTCCACACGTTTCCATCCATCCTTCGTACTATAAAATCAAAATAGCTATCCTGTCCATCCTGTGGGCTGCTTTTGGCGCGAAGCATTTCCTAAACTTACGGTACATCAGCCATAACCGACAATCACTTTACCGTCTGGCTGGCTGGTCGGTCGCTCGGTCGGTTTTCCTATTTTTATATCCTTCTCTCTTCCATATCCCTCGAGTTTTTTTGCCCCTTCGATAAATTGCACTCTGATATATTATATTATGCGGCTAGCCGCTGCTCTCTTGGTCAGACAATTTTATACAATTTAATAGCGATGTATGTATGTACCTTTCAGGTATGTTTTATTTGTGAATCGAATTATCAAGATACAAAAGAGTTCTAATCGCACATCCCACATATTTTTAACACCAATGAACAGCAAAGGGTAAAGCCACATTATTCGAATAGACGCCTAAAAAAAGCCACACCCAGAGTCTACATATCGGATGAAATGAATGCGACACGACACACACACAGAAGAAGTTGTTAGCAATCAACTCAAGCATCAAACTTTGATTTGTATGACCATAAATCGCACTTTATTTTTGAATCAGCAGCCCAGCCCCTTTGTCGAACATCTGTCTGCCCAGTTTCCTGCTCAGCAGTACCATATTTGTGGCTGACTGTTCATAAATTTTACCCTTGGCAAGAGAAGAAAGTTGGCCAAAAGTTGCACACACACACACACACCTTTAGTATAGCAGCAGCATCCCCCCGCCCCCGCTTTAAGCCATTGGCAATCAGTTTTCTTATCTGCTTGTCTTATGTGTCCATCCCCACTTGTTACATGGCCATAACTTTTTGTAGTCTGGAAACGCCTTTAGCTTGGCTTTTATAATTCTATTTCCGTTTCCGTACAAAAAACTTTGTGCTTTTTCCCTACGCTACGACGATGTGAGTATGTATATTGTATGCCCATACATATGTATGTGGATATGTATGTATGTATTTCTACACATCTTTTTCACATGTTTTGGGTATTCCATTTTCTTTGTCTGCTTTTGGCAGTATGGGATTATTATCGTCTCTGCCCTCTCCGGACTCTGGACTGCTATACTCCGTACTCCAACTCATGGACGGGGTGGTGTACGTGCTATACGTTTGTGGAGCATTGACACTGACTTTGTGTGTCGCTTAGTGGTTTGTCTCTATCTTTGCTACTTTGCCTGCCTTTGCGAGCTGATATTGTGGCTTGCACCATGCTCAAAAAACATGATTTAATCCCTTAACTCAAGGAATTATCACCGAGTTGCATACATTTTTTTTTGTCATTCCAAGCGAAAATGTATCCATGTAGGCTGCCATTTACTTCTGCCTGAATACCAGCATATCTGCTATTCATAGCACATGTTCATCAATCAATTAATCGATATATAAAATACTCTCCCTGGTCTGTGGCATAAAAGCATAAACGTGGGAGAGTTCCGAGTATAAATAATTAGAAAATAAATAAGATGAGCATGACAGCTGTGGGCGGACAGAACATGTATTTGATGTACATATACTTCTTGAATTTTCATTGGGAAAAACACTGTACTGTATATCTAATTAGTGAAGAGACTGCGGGGTCTGTCGGTGCTGTCGGTGCTGAGCTGTCAGTGGGCAAATTATGAAACAAATGAAGTTGAACCAAAAATTAACCTCGAATATTCATCAAATAAGTCAACGCATACAAAATTATATAAACAGAATCAATTTAAGTGAAGCGGCACACTTTGGGAGTGTGAGGGGTGGGCAGCACTTTCGCCCAGCAGGTGGCAAAGCCATTCCGACAATACTAATGGGTGGCAGGAGGAGGTGGAGGAGGAGCAGACAAGCGGGGAGACTCTTGGCATAATTTCAATATGGCGTCTACTGCTACAGCGCGTGGCCAGCAGCCGAAACTGCCACTTAGAGGCGGCCGTCAGGTCTCCTTCCGGTACTGCCTACGCGTACACCTCATCTCATCGCTTTCCGGGGGAACCCGACGGGACGAGACGCGACAGGACGTGATGGGATGGGATGGGATGGGAGGGGGGCATTTCATTGTGCGATGAGCGCGGAGATTAGAAAATAACAAAATAAAAATTTGCGTTTATGTTTCACTTGTTTTTATTTTCGCTGGATTCCTTGCTCACACCCTCTGCCCCTGCCCAAGCCCTCTTTCGTTGACACTCATTTCTGACAGCTTAAGGACATTTGAGGGTCATGTTCCCCACTCCAGCGTCAGCCACTCAGACTTTCTTGGGACTATATCCAGATTTAAAATGACATTTTCATAATTCAAGTCTGTGATTCAGCGCCTCCTTTGTAATAAACTTGCCACTTTTCCCTACACTCGAGTGGCCACTGTGGCAACGTCGCCGTCGCTGTCGCTCTGTTGACTCCTAATTGTGTGGGTTTCCCCTTTTTGCTATTTACTATGTCTCGAGTGGGGAAACCCTCTCTATCCCCCTCCTCTGCTTTATTGAACCCATGCTTAGCAACAGCTGCCCGTAATGAAATTAAATTATGGTTTCTCTAAAGGCACACACACACACACACTGCAGGGCTGGAGGAGGTTCCAGTGCCCACCGGGTAAGGGAAAGATTTTCTCATATTTTCCGGGGTTTGTCACATTAAAATTTAGTGCTTCTTTTAAGTGCCGGTAATAAGATATTTGTATGCTTTTAGGCGGTTGGCTTTAGGCAGACAGCCCAGCCCTGCCCAGCCCAGTCAGTGAAATGAGCCAAGTGCCAGTGCCAGTGCCAGTGCCATGTGTTGTGTCGGCTCGTCTCTCTCTTAGTCCCCTCTCTGCTGGGCTACAAGCCCTTACTCGTACTAGTACTCGTGTGCATGTGGCGTAGTCGTTGCCTTTGCATAATTTAAAAGTACCAGAAAGCGACAATATATTAAGGATTAGGACTATAGTAGGATGCTGTTAAGAGTGGCAGAGATCAAAGTGGGACGCAGAAGAATATGTCTAACCGTTGCTTTAAAACTGGGCGGAAAGTCTAAAGTTCATTAGTGGAACTATTTCTGATTAATTTGAGTGCCATGTCGTTTCATTTTTCATGCGCAAATGCTTTTTAATTGGTCTGTTCCTTGGGGCATAATTAATCGACAGGGAAAACATCAGCACAGACCAAAAAGAATTTGTAATTTTATGTAAATGTCTGGGGATAGGAATAAGGGAAGATATGATGCGGATAATGGACCTTCGTTCTGAAATGCTCTAGGAGCGTAGAAGAGTTGAAATCTTCACACTCGACCATAGGATTCTCTGCTTTCATTTTGTATTTTTTTATTTTTGAAGTCCTTTTGATAGTCTTGTAACTAAATGTCTGATCTTTCTCCATAGGCGTTAGCGTCTCGTAACTTCTGATAATATACTGTATGTATCTGCGACCAACTCCAACAGACTGTACTTTCTGTTTGGTTTTTTATTTTGTTTTAATTCTGCATGCAAACTGCAGGGGAATAGGGTCTGAGTCTGACTGTTGTTGTGTCAGGGGTCTGGGGTGCCACTGGGACCCTTGGAGCGTAACGCTGACAAAAAGGAACGACATTTGTTTCATTACCCCGAAGTCTTGACCCCTGTTATCGGGGGCAGTCTTCCAGTTGGTGCCGCATCAGTGCACCAAGTAAGAGGTTCTGCGGAGGGGTGTTACGAGTAGCTGTTGCTGCAACATAAAAAACACTCCGCGTGCTAGATAAAAATTCCTTACTTAAATGTTAATCTTACTGCACATGCACTAAAAAATCTATATAGAAAATTCGGAAATTAAAAACATAAACTTTAAGCAATTAAAATCGAATTTTTAGACGTAACGAATGCTGATTAACAAATAAAAAATGCAACTTAAGGCTTAATCAATCAAATTGACGTTTAAAAGCAGAGCCACGTACGCCTTCTGTCCAAGACACGGATCGCCACCTACTGCCTCGAAAAACATTATGTAACGACACCCTTAATTCCGAAAATGCTCAAAGTCAAAGTGTAATTACGTCCGAAAAACATTGACATGAAAAAACGAAAGCAAAAATTAAGAAAGGGAAGAAAGATGGGAAAAGGAAGTGAAAACAAAGCGTCTATGGGTAAAGAGGGGGCAAAGGGGAAAGTTTTTAGAGTTAGTGGCGAAAAGTTGGAATACTTTGAGTGGAAATCAACTGAAAGAATAATATAGATACGAGGACTCGTACCTAGCCTTCGTTTTATTTGAAAACAAAGATTGAACTTCCATGTGGAGTGTGGAGTGGAGGAAAGAGTTTAAAGAGTTTCTCATTTTCATAAAAATGCGATGTTAATTGGGCATAAATAAAATGTATGCAGAGGAGGTCTTCTCCCTAAACAGATTTGCAATCAAAAAACCTATCTCGACTTTTGCTCACTTGAACTCAATTTTCCAAGCGGCCTGAGTGTCTGTCTACAGATTAATTTTTATCTTTTCAATGGAGCTTAAGGCTCTAGAAACACACAGCAACGAAACCATATTAAAGGCAGGTCAGGGGCACGGACAGGGGCAGTGGCAGTGGCAGGGGGAAATGAAAACTTTGGTCCAACAGAACGACCAAACCAACGATAAAAGCGCACT